TGGGCGCCGGCGTGGCCGAGGCTGTGATGGTGGTCTGCCCCATGGAGACCATAAAGGTGGGAGGCAGCCGCCAGCGTCCCCCTGCCCTGGCACCCCTCCCCGGGCTGGGTCAGGAGGGGGTGGGAGCCGGGGATGCCTGGCTTTTGGCGGGCTTTTGGAGGTCTCTGGGGAGCTGAGAGCCACGTGGGTTTGCTCGGGCTGGTTTTGTAGGGGAGGAGCAGATGCTGGAAAGCCCCATGGAGAGGTCAGGCCCTGCGGCCATCGCCCCTTCACTGCTCCAGGGAGGATCCCCCACCCAGGAGCCATCTGTCACCCATTTTAGGGCTGTAAAACCCATGCAATTGCTTGCAGAGGCAGTTTCCCAGGTTTTCCTCTGCAAAACACACCACTGGCCATGGGCGCAGGCTTCTCCCATGACCTCACCCAGCATTGCCTGGCCATGTGGGTTGGCTCCGGTCTCCGGACCGTCCCCAGAGCAAGGCAAGAGGTGGCTGGCAGCCTTTCTGGGCCATCGCATCCCCCCTCGCCTCAGCCAGGACGAGCGTGTCGTCTCCCCACAGGTGAAGTTCATCCATGACCAGTGCTCCCCCAAGCCCAAATACCGTGGCTTCTTCCATGGTGTCCGGGAGATCATTCGGGAACAGGGTGAGTCCCGGGGAAGTGATGCCCTGTCTCCATCCAGTACCCCCACACTGGAGGGAATGTGGGGGAGGTGGGAGATGGGTGCAGGCTGGGACCAGCTGCCTGGGGAGGTTTTTCTGTGCCTGGGTGAGGCTGGTGCTCCCCTCCAACACCCTCTCTTATTGCAGGACTAAAGGGGACCTACCAGGGCTTAACCGCGACTGTCCTCAAGCAAGGATCAAACCAGGCCATCCGCTTCTTCGTCATGACCTCTCTGAAGAACTGGTACAAAGGTACAGTGCCCCCGTCCCCCCAGGACACCCTGGCTGCGCCACTGGCTCCCTGAGCCCATCCTTGGGAGCCAGGCTTGGGCTTTCCGCCAGCGCATCCTCCACTTCTCGTGGCTCAGCCTCTCGTGATGGAGGAAGGTGAAACCCAGGGCAAGGGGGCCCCAGCTTCTGGGGTTGAAACGTCCCAGTGCTAGAGCATCACCTCCACTCCCGCCCTGAGCTCCCCAGTGCTGCGTGGGCTCTGTGGGGCTGGTGCTGCTGGACAGTCACCTCCAAATGCCCTGGGCTCCCCACTCAGCATGGCACCAGCCCTGACCACAAGCAGCCAGACCTGGGACCTTCCCTGTGAGCTCCCTTGGGGATGTTGTGCTTCATCTCCCACCACCACTCTGCCCTCAACCTCTCCTCCTTCCCAGGGGACAATCCCAACAAGCCCATCAACCCCTTTGTCACGGGGGTGTTTGGAGCCCTTGCCGGAGCTGCGAGCGTCTTCGGCAACACCCCCTTGGATGTGGTGAAGACCAGGATGCAGGTACGGCACTGGGGCATGGTGTGGGACTGCTCTGCCTGCGGCAGGCTGGGATCATCTGCTGTTTGGGAGCTATTCTGTGCAGCCCCCAGGGCAGGTGCCTGATGCCAGCAGGGTTTGGGAGATGCCTGAGGACACTGCCCCCTCGCAGCTGGGCTGTGGGGGTGCTGGGAAGTGTTTGCGTGGAGGTGGGGACATCCCTGCCGGGTTGGTGGCCTGTGGCAGCAAAGGGGGATCGGTTCCTCCTGGCATACCCCCAGCTCTCTGCCTCCCCCTCTAAAATCCCCCCCAGATGCACCCCTGGCTCTGACCTCTGACCCTGCTTTTCCCATCCTGCAGGGGCTGGAAGCACACAAGTACAAGAGCACCTGGGACTGCGCCTACCAGATCATGAAATACGAAGGGCCCCTGGCGTAAGCCCTGCGGTGGGGACGGGCGAGGGGCGGCAGTGGGGT